ATCCTAAGTTTCCTAACACATGTTCCTTTTTTATTTCCAGCCTAAAATTAATAAGGAATTTCGAGGGGACCCTCAGGCAAGAGTTGATTGTATTGAACTTGTACACAACATGTTTGTTTTTGCTTGTTTTTTCCGGACGTTTTTTTAAACTTTTTTATTGTTAGTTGTTGTTGTTGTTGTTGTTGTTGTTGTTGTTGTTTTTAATGATGTGCTGGTACGAGGGGGACCTTCCCCCAGCCAGGCCACCCAGGGACCAGCAACGGGAAAAATATCTGCATAGACAGCAGGCAGCTCAGGGTGCGTTAGTTCTTCCGCTGCCTCCTCGTCCTTCGTCCTCGTCGTCTTTTTGATCGCGCATGACGACATCTTCCCCGCCGTCTCCTCCATAGCCACGAGCTTCGTCTTTGTCCGGCGTCGTTATTCTTGCTATTTTTGGCAATGGCTCGATCCCCAGGACCTCTCATTGTAAGTGACGCTGGAGCCGCTTTCCAGCTATCACGATGAAAAATTGGATGTCAAACCACCAATACCTTTTCCCAAACATCAGCCGCCGACCCCTGAGCGCGAGTTTAGGAGGCCGGAAAGACAACGAAGGCCGTTGATGAAATTTATCAACGGCAGCCCGGCCCCCGAACAATGCAGTACAGGTTATATTCCAACTTGGGACTACAGCCTGAAAGGTAGTGGTGTCTTTTTTCTTTCGAAAAAAAAAGCAAGGATAGATGGCAGAACCGTATTGCACAAATATCTGACACAAAGTCTCAGGCAAGAGTCGATGGAAATGTACGCATAGTCGATGGAAATGTACGCATAGACTGCCATAGTAACATACAGAGAAGATTAGCAAGGCCCCTGTGCAAGGAGGGGAGAAAAAAAAAACAACAGCGCATACATCAAGGAATCCCAAATCAAAATTTAAATCGCTAGTACACGGCCCCACAGCCTTGCAGAAAGTTTTTCTTGCCACAAGGAAAACTTGGCGACGCCGCTGGCCCGGGGCGCCGTTGAACAAAAAATTGGCAGCCTCCGAAGTGGTGCGGGTTTCATGCTGACACCCGCGGGCTTATGTGTGGTGTACTGGTGGTTTAAATTGGGAATACTTCGAACTTCGAATAGATAGGTATATAGAGCAAAGAGGTTTTTTTCTTTTAGCAACAAAGCAGGGTTGCATACCTGCCGACCGCCTACCGTATTGCAGCTGACCAGTAGGGCCGACTGGTCGGCAGTCTGCCGACCAGTCAGAAAACAAACATCCAACGTGTTTTTTTTCAAATCTGAGTTGGGCGCTGTACTGTGCTTGCTGCGTACAGCCCAAATCCGCTGAGAAACTTTTGGAGATTGGGGCCGGGGGGTGGTATGGGGGGGTTGTGGGGGGGGGGAGGGGAGGKTAKAGCGRGGGKATAGGGGKATAGGSGSGGTATAGGGGGTATTGCGGGAGTAATGAGGGTGTTGGGGGCGATTTCGGGGGTGTATCGGGGCCGCTATGGGGGTGTTGGTGGGGTTATTAGAGGTTCTGGACCCTTCTTTTTTTTTTTTTTTTTTTTTTTTTGTGGGGTGCCAATGACCCCAGGGGTATGCCACACTGCAACAAAGAGTATTCTTTAGGTAACTCCCATGGGGGCACAAAATCCATGCGATGAATGGAACAGACAACCGGGTTCTCTTTGCAGTAAAGAGGCACCAAACTCCATCTACCCATGGGAGGGTAAAAAGAGCCGATTGCCCATGGGAGGGTAAAAAGTGCTGATTGCCCAATTCCGTCTGAAGGCACCAAAGCTGATGGCAAAAGGGTAAAGGACTCCAAAAATTATGTTATTTCAGTCTACAAGCGGGATTTTCAATCGACCAGAACCTGGGAACGAACACTTCCCTCATCTGTGCAGACAACAAGCTGCAACACCGTAAGGGGGATACACGGGGAAAAGGAGTTCCTTGGAGGGGAAGGGGGGGGGGAGGGGAGGAGAAAGGTGGGGGCAGGGTGAATGACAGGCAAGAGAGAAGGAAGGGGGAGGAGAGCAGATAAGATTCCTACCGCGAGGGTGGGGACCAGAGTCTTTGCCTCCTCCACAGTATCTGGAACAAGATTTCCTATTACACAAATCTGCAACAAAGACCGAACAGAACTGCATTTAGAAATATGCCACCACCATGGCAACAGCACGAACGCATGCTAAGGAATAGTTGACAAGGCCAAGGACGAGAGAAGAGCAGGAGGACAGAACATGAAGAGAATGGCGAGAGGAGGGGAAGGAGATGTGGAGAAGGAAGAGGAGGAGGAGGAGGAGGAGGAGGAGGAGGAGGAGAGTGCAGGAGATGAGCAGGGAGAGGAGGAGCAGAGGACAGGAGGGATGAGCAGGACGACAAGGACGAGCAGGAGGAGGCGGAGGAGGACAGCATTAAGAGGACGGCAAGAGGCAGAGAAGGAGGCTGAGGTGGAGGAGGACGATGATGAGGAGGGAAGGACAAGAGAGGAGCACGAGGAGGAGAGGAGAGGAGAGGAGCAGGAGGAGGAGGAGGAGAAAGAGAATGAGGAAGAAAACAAGGACAGGAGGAGAAGGGGTACAAATGAGGACAGGAGAAGAAGCGGGTGTGACGAGAGGAGGAGAAGGAAAATGAAGAAGACAAGAGGAGGTCGCGGTGGCAGCGGAGGAAGCACAGGCGGGCAAAAGGAGAGGAGGAGAGCAATGCGGAGAGAGGAGACGGAGGAGACCAAGAAGGCATATTCGTCTCCCCAAGTACTGTGCCAAGGATCCAAAAGGAGATTCGAGGAAAGCAGCACCATCAGGCTGATGCAAAATTGAAAAGGAATCGACATCAAAGAGAAGAAAAACGAATTCGATTTCAGGAGACCAGTGAAACTGAAGGAACTGTTCCGCCGCGTACCTCAAATTCTGCAAGTCCCCTTCTACTTAACGATCTGCCAACGTCGATGAGAATAGTATTCATGTCAAGCCCCGTCAGGCACGGCGCAGGTCAAGGATCCTGCCAATGAGAATAAAGAACACTACAAAAAACGAAAAATAATGGGGGGGGGGGGGGGTGGGTGGGTGGGTGGGTGTGTGTGTGGGGGGGGCGGGGGGGGAAGCAGGAAGGAATGAGAGTCTGTAATCCAGGCATACGCCGCAGGGCAACATAGCAAACAGACAAGTTTATATTTCTATAGACGGAGACCCAGAAAAGTATTTACTATTTACTATTTGCGTTTCTGGATGGATAACCAGAGATGATGCGTTTCTTCTTCTGCTGGCCCACACAGCCCAATCATGCGCTGTACTTCCGAGAATTTGTGGGCTTTTTTTCTAGTGCTGGCCTTGGGATTCGACCTGTGATGGACCAGGGATCAACCTGACATGGGTTCAGAGATGCATCTGTGATGGATTTCACTCCACGCTCATTGCAGGTCTATTTTAGACCTAACGTGGGACTCAAATGCACCCGCAATGGGCCTGCAGTGGACCTGCAATCAACCTGAAACGGACAGGGGCCTGCAATGGACCTGCAATGGACCCACAATGGACCTGGAATCAACCTGAAACGGACCTGTCATGGACCTGCAATGGACCTGCAATGGACCAGCAATGGACCTGCAATGGACCTGCAATGGACCTGCAATGGACCTGCAATGGACCTGAAACGGACCTGTCATGGACCTGCAATGGACCTGCAATGGACCTGCAATGGACCTGCAATGGACCTGAAACGGACCTGTGATGGACCAGGGATCAACCTGACATGGACCAGAGATGCATCTGTGATGGATTTTACTCCAGGCTCATCGTAGGTCTGTTTCAGACCTAACACGGACCTAATTTGGGACTCAAATGCAACGAACCTGCAACGAACCTGCAATGGACCTGCAATGGACCTGCAATGGGACCTGCAATGGACCTGCAATGGACTTGCAATGGACCTATGATGGACCTGCGATGGACCTGACATCGACCTGAGATGCATCTGTGATGGATTTTACTCCAGGCTCATTGTAGTTCTGTTTCAGACCTAACACGGACCTGATTTGGGACTCAAATGCAACGAACCTGCAATGGACCTGCAATGGACCTGCAATGGACCTGCAATGGACCTGCAATGGACTTGCAATGGACCTATGATGGACCTGCGATGTACCTGTGATGACCTGACATGGACCTGAGATGCATCTGCAATGGATTTCACGTGGATATGAAATCCATCCAGACCCATTGCAGGTCCATTTCAGACCTGCCATGGATGAATGGACCTAACGTCGTTCGCAAATGGACCTGCAGTGGACCTGAAACAGACCTGAGATGGACCAGGGATCAACCCAACATGGACCTGAGATGTATCTGTGATGGACCTGGATGGAGCTGACATGGAGCTGAAATCGACCTGAAGTGGACTCCACATGGATCTGACATGGAACTACTGTTCTGTCCTGACCTACGTTGACTTACCAAGGCTCTCTCTACACGCTGCCTATCATCATACAAACGAGTCAAAACAAAAAACAACGTCGGTCGAGTGTGTACCCAAAGAATGGCCTGTTCACCCATCCTTTAATTCAGTCACAAACAGCTCCTCCTCCTCCTCCTCCTCCTCCCCCACCCCGAATACCTTCTCCTTCTCTTCTCTCTTCCTCCGCTCTTCCTGCTGCTCTTCCCGTCCTCCCCTCCCCCTCTCCCCAGATAGAACACACGATCATTATCGCTGTTTATGCCCCTCGCTCCACTATACAACACCCTACAAGCATTTGGGCGATTTCTTGACCAGATACATTCAAAAGGGTGGACTCGTCCGAATGCACCTGGTCCAGAGAACGTCCAAATGCATGTTCAGTGTTGTGCAGTAGAGCAAGGCCCTATGTGATTTGACTGGAAGTTCCCCCGAATACAGCTGCAATGACCATGTGGTCTGTTCTACGGGAAGACGGTAGTCCTCCTCCTCCTCTCCTGCTCCTCCCTGGCAAAGTTCATCACGGATAATCACACACAAAGCTGCACTTTTGGACGTCCCCAAAGTTTTTGGTACGTCTCCGAAGTTTTTGCAATCACCACAGAAACTAATAAGAAGAAGGAAAACGACCCTGCCGAGGTGAGAAGTGGGAGAGGGGGAGTGGGAGAGGGGGGCAAGCACAAATGAATGCTGTCAACTTCTTTGTCTCAAACCCAATTCCTCTATTCAACACTGAACCCCTCCTCCTCCTCCTCCTCCTCCTCCTCCTCCTCCTCTTCTTCCTCCTCCTCCTCCTCCTCCTCCTCCTGTTGTTCGAAACATGCATGAGACATGAGAAGCCGCAACACGGAAGTAGGGGCCGGATACTCTCGAACTTGCTTGACTGCCTCTGGATTCCTGTAGTGGCTGAAACGCTTCACATATGCCAGAGATTTGTCGAAAACACTGCAAACATCGAATTGCAAATCATGACGCAGGAGAAACCGACGACGGCAATCAGTAAATCGTCACACAGAAATAGAGACCAAAAAGTACAGCAAATCATCAGAAAAGCAGAGACCAATGAATTACAGTCAATCATCAGACAGCAGAAACCAACAATGGCAGCCAAATCATCGCACAGCTGACACGAACAATGACACCGGCAAATCACCAACGAGCGTAGTTCAGTTGGTACACCGAGGAACTGAACTGTTGAAATATGAATCAGACCCAAGTTCGAATCCAGATACAATCAGGTGATGACCAGAACAAAATAACTTCTGAATCACCTGGTGCCGTTCAGTTCAGCGATAATATCTCAAGGCTGTCGCCCTTCTTTAAAAACGAACAATGACACCAGCAAATCATCACACGTTCATCAGAAACAACTTAGAGCAAATTATCGATAATCACAGCAGGAACCAAAACCAATCAATGACAGCGAAATATCAACATACCACAGCAGAAACCAATTACAACGCAAATCACCACAACAGCACAAACCAATGCAACGCCACACAGACAGGTGATGATGGTATTCCGCACCTTTTCTTCGTTGTCAGGAGGAAGGGGGGGAGGGGGGGGGGGGGGGGGGGGGGGGGGGGGAAGGGGAGAACCGACCGAAACCAAGCAAAATAATGGACACACATACCTTTCATTGTCAGGAGAGAGAGAGAGGGAAGGGGGGGAAGGGGGAAGGGGAAGGGAGGGAACCCAACCAGAACAAATAAAGTGTAGTATCTATTCCGATCGGTTCTGTATTTGATCCTTGATCAGCACTGATGAGGAGGGTGTGTGTGTAGTGGTGGGGGAAGAAGAGCAATGGCCGCACGGATTCAAAACCGTCGTAAAAAAGAGCAATGGACGCACGGAAAACAGTCATAAGAAAAAGAAAATTGTCTATGAGAGCAACCGTTAGCAACCAACCAATCACACTCGGATTCGGCCCTTTTCCTATTTTCCACCCCTTTTCCACCCGTCTCCACCTTTAGTCCCCCAAGGATTCGGCCCTTTTCCTCTTTTCCGCCCCTTTTCCACCCCTCTGCACCTTTCGTCCCCCAAAAAGCAGCCTCCTTTCTATTCTAAGTGACAATTAGAGCTGTCAGCGGCCAGATGATTTGCATCGCCTAGGGAGGGAGGGAGGGAGGG